TATATATATATATATATATATATATATATATATATATATATATATATCAGGGATGCATATTGGATTTTTGGTTTTTATCCAAAATGTCGATATGTTAAATCTTATTTGGCCGATAGCCAATACCAATACTGGTATTTTTTCCCTAGACATACTTTCAGAGACTACATATCTTTCTCTGCTGTTGAATTAAAATACTACATTATTCTGCATGGTCTTTGTCAATTTGGCCTGCTACCAAATGCAGATGCCAAAAAAGGGGTCTGAAAATGATGTAACACTTCAACTTGGATTATGTATATTTGGATATACTTGGATATTATACATCATTGAGTTATTTTGATGGACTGACCGATGTCCGATATTTAATTTTCATGCTAATATTGGCCAATACTGATAATATTGCACATCCCTAATATTTACATTTAATGGTGAGGGAAGTGGTAGCTCACCGGTTCAACTCTTGGTACCGACAACATAAAAAAAAAATGTGGGTGGAACAGGTGAAGCACCCACACCTGCTTCCACCCTCATTTACTACACTCTGGGCCCTTGAGCAAGGCTCTTAACCCCCACCTTCTGCTCCCCCCCGGGTGTCCTGGATGGCAGCTCTCTGCTCCACACAGAGGGCTGTGGTAGCTCGGTGGTCTGTGGTTGAGTCAGGAAGGACATCCAGCGTAAAAATAATTGCTAAGTCGTTGTGTGACAGTTTGCTGTGATCACCACTAAGGCAGAGAGCAGACGAAAGAAGAAGATACATATTTTTTAAAAGAAAATGCAAAAGCTGACATGCAGCAAATTTACATCATCTCAGGGATGACATGGAAGAAGACAGAACCATGAGGCCAAGCAATGCCCAGACAACAAGGAACACAGAGACTCATATCAAAACTGTAACAAATAGATAATGACAAACACCTGGGAAGGAGAACAGGTGATGGAGGCAGGAGCTGATTACAAGAGGGAGACACACTAGAAAACACAAATCCGCACATCACTACAATCAACGTATTGATGCCAACATTGACTCAACAAAGCTAAGAATGACGATGTAATTGTCACAAATTTCTTCTGTATTTTCACTCTGTTTTCTCTCAGCTGTTGATTGATCATTTTTGTGAAAATGATTTCTTGTTGAGGTTATGGAGCTGTCTGTAGTATCCTTTAACAATTATTTGTAGCTTATTGAGAAATGAAGGAAGTTTTAGTTTGTTATTAAAAGTGTTTCCCTTCTCATGTTCAGACTTACATTGGACACATCCTCTTGCTGGTCAACCCAAACAAAGAGCTGCCCATCTATTCCCCTTTGGTAAGTTTGCATTTAAAATTTGCCTTTTAAATAACACGAAACATTTTGCTGTAACTTAAACATTACTTTACATTAATGTTTCACTGTATTTGATTAGCAATTGCAAATTATACATTAAAGACAGCATGTTTCCTGTATAAAAAGTCCAGCAGGAACAGATGAATTGGACCTTGTAGTTGATAAATAATGCAGTCTTCCTGTTAGGGATACACAGCAAAACGCTGAGTCTGCATCAGCCACACACACACACACACACACACACTCATTCCTTCACTCACATATCTATGTTCCCACCAGAACATATAACTGTTTATTACACAGCTATATGAACATATCTATAAAATATCTATTTTTTTATTTAAGTTTGCTGTTGCTATAATAACACTTAACAATATGTGTTACCATAAAAATCTATCTTCTTTAGAAATAGCTGACTTGGCGCCAGGTAAAGGGTTGAACCCAAAATTGATTGCATGGACAAGAAGAAAGCATTGTCTCCTGCCAGGATAGAAATGAATCCAAGTCCCTGTCTGGTTCTCCCATTCAGCCTCTGTCTGGCTTCACTCCAGGCCTCCATACCTAACTGTGAGGTTGTGGAGGAGCAGGGAGATGCATGCGTGAGAAGGACATATGTCACAACATGTGCGATGTGTTGGCCATCTGTCAGTCTCTCTGGTATCCTGGTCCATGACCCGTCCTCCATCGCTTGTCTGTAGCCTTCAATTTAACATTGCACCTGGGCATGAATGAATGTTACAGTTAATTAATATAGACAGACACCTCACACCATTACACACTCAAAGAGAGTGACACCTGGAATGGTTTTTCTGTCTTATGGTGACTGTGTTTCTCAGAACAGCAGCGTGTTTTTATCAAATGTCTCTGTCTCCCTCAGGTGAGTCAGTTGTACCTGAGCTCCACTGGTCGTCTGTGCTCTTCTCTGCCACCTCACATCTTCTCTTCTGCTGAGAGGGCGTACCACATGATGCAGCAGGAGAGACGCCCTCAGTGTTTTATCTTGAGGTACGCCTGCCACCCATTACACAAAAAAATGCACTCCGCCATGCTCATGAATCTAAACGCCCAAGAATTACATGGCCAAAACAACAACGACATTCTCATGGCTGAATAATTTTGTAAATGATCAAAAAGCTGCCCACCTGGTTTCTTCACTCCCCCTTGGCTCTACACCTGTTAAACACTCCCGGAAAGATTAATCGCTCTCAGACGAGCTATTGACCTGTTTCGTGTTCACACAGTGATGGATGTTTGCTGGAAGTGTTGCAGAGTCGCGATCTTTTTGTCCTCGACTGGACCGAGCCAGTGCCCTGATTGCAATTAAATCCTGTTCCGGCTCTCCAGTGGCATTCCCACTGAGTCGTAACCAATCTGGCAGAGAGTTAATGCACATTGGCCATCCGCCATCCATCTCACTCACGCACACACATGGCAACATTGTACTATACACTGCCATGTACACACCTTGCTGTTGTCTATCTCTTCTATACACAATGTCAATTCTGCTCATATCTTACTTTTGGTAAAGATTGTCTTTATGCACTATAGTTCAATATCCCTTATACACACACAAACACACATGCAGACACTTTCACACATTTGTAGGCAATCAACAACCCTCACGAGTCAAGTGATTTAACAAAATGCCCTTGAAATCTAATAAAGCTGGTAAATTGGAAGACAGTGGAAGGACATTTGGACTTCACACTCAGCAGGTCTGTTTGTAGGAAATGTAGCAAGACGTGCGCACACAGTCAAACAGCATACCTAAAGCACCTTGCGGCCATTAGTGCAGGCCTCTGACCTTCTGAAGCCATCTGCTTGGTGTTACTGTGCACATCTCAACCCTCTGCGTGTCAGTGAGCGTCAGAGCATGCTCTGTAGATGGACCTTATGTCAGCCTTAATATCCACACAATGGAAAACTAAAAACAGGCACTCAGTGTACAAAAAGTGGTGGTCATTGGGTAGAATGCTCTCAATGTCAGCGGAAAAGCTGCAAATAATCAGTTTAATGGGCGAACATCCCTGAAGAGTTGATGTCAGGTGGGTGGAGGCATTTAATGGAGGGGACAGATGTTGGAAACACCCCAATCACTGACGTCTCACACCTATTCCTCTGAGATACAGGCTCAGTTTACTGCATGCCCTTCATGTGTTTCACTTTTTTCTCAAAATGTTAATGAGAAAATGAGATTCTGACCGAAAGTAAGCACTTAAAGAATGACCAGATTAGGACGCAATTTGGTGCACAACGCAGTTTTAAATAATTTACCTTATTTTCTGGAGTATAAGTCGCATCAATCGAAAAAAGCATCATGAAGAGGAAAAAAACATATATGTCGCTTCGGTGTATAAGTTGCATTTATTATTTGTCACCGCTGACCCGTCATATTTATTATCAATTGATTTAATGGGCAAAACAGCTTCATTTCGCCTGGGTGGCGCAGCGCCATTCATCCATCCATCCATCCATCCATCCATCCATCGCGGCTGGAGGCGCTAGCTCTACAGCATTCCTCTGCCTGCACCAGCTGAATGAAGCAAATGTGCATGGGAGTACTTCCTGTTGCAGTTCTTCAAAGTTATAGCATTAATCAAAATTTGCATTATGAATATAAAAAAATATATATACTTAAGTTGTTTCGGCATATAAGTCGCAGGACTGATAAATCTATGCAAAAAGATGTGACTTTTACACCAGAAAATGCGGTATTTGAAATGACCTGGTTTGCCTAAAGCAGGCATCAGAGTGCAGAAGTGGGAACGTCACAACTGGCACCCTGGTGTTCCCAGGTAGGTGGTACCGTGAAGTTGCCAGGCATGTGGGAGGTACAGATATCACAGTTTCCCAGTGTCGGAGCCAATGAATATGGACATTTTATTGAAACACTACATCTCTAAAGCACCATGATTCAACATCTTTATAGTTATATGTGAGAACTATAACACACTGAAGCATTAGCAAATAAAAACTGTTAAGTATAACATCTTAAACCATTATTGCGCAACATAAAAGCCATCAACATGTTTTTTTTTGTTTTTTTTCTTTTCTTTAGTGGTGAGAGTGGTTCTGGGAAAACTGAGGCAAGTAAGCATATCATGAGACACTTGACAGCCCGCTCCAGCTCCAAAGGCTTTGGGCTCGAGTCCCGAATGAAACACGTAAGTCTGCAAGCTGTTTGTCAAGTTCTGTCCTTCAAGAAGTCACTTGAACATAAAACTGGAGATTCAACAGATTCTTGCATCTTTGGTTGATCTCAAATTTAAATCATACTTTGTTTTCTTCAGATTTTCTTTCTTTTCTTTAAGTCCACAGGGACAAACTCATTTTCTGTGTGTGTTCTGGTGCCTGCAGCATGTCTCACTGCACATACTGTATTCCCCCATGCTCACAGTTGAGAGAGCCACAGTAGAGAGGAGAGGGGATGTGTGGATTAGCGCAGTGTAAAATGCAGCATTTGTCTTTTTGTTAGTTTACCTGTTTATTTATTGTCATGGTAGCTATTTGTCTGTTAAGCCCACAACTGGATCATTCAGCCAGTCTTTATACTTTATATTTTTAATTCTTGAAATATTCACATTTTGGATTTTGAGATTTTAAGCTCCTGTTTGAGCCATTTGAACCCAATTACTCTAAGCATCATTATAAGTTTGGATAATTTACACTGATGGCAAATGTTAAAAACAGTGAATTATGAAACAATAAATCACATTACAAGTTGCTCTGGTTCACATTCAGAATCCACATCTACTTTCCTATTAGTCCATTTATTACTTGTTTTCTGGGAATTGTACAAAAAAGCAGTGTACAACCATCAGAGACTGCTGATTTCTGATGAAGTCATTGTTATTCAGTCAATATCTGGGTCAGATTGTCATTCTGGGAATGAAAAAAATCACATCCTCAGAGTGAATATGCACTGACATCTAGTGGTGTGAAGAGGAATCAAAGAAAGACATTCACTTACGTTCAAAATACTGTATATATATATATTTTTTTTAATTGTTAAAAATTATATGAAAAAATACAAGTAAATGTATCCTTCAAAACAAAGCAAAGTTTCTACAGCATGTCCTTTTTATATTATATGCAGGTAAACTGTATTCTTGAAGCCTTTGGTCATGCAAAAACTCCAAGAAACAGCAATTCAAGCCGCTTTACTAAGCTGTTCACCATCCAGTACTGTGAAAAGAGGAGGACGATGCTCAGAGGTGATATTCAATTCTGTCTCTATAAAACTGCATTTAAATGTATCTTCAGTGATATTTACTGTTACTTTAATTCATCTCAATATCTTCATAAAGCATATATGTCAAAATGTATTTGGTTCTTACATCTTCGTCTTGATTTATGTTTTCACATATTTAAACTCTACACATTTCTTCTTTATGTTTTAACGTAAAAATAGTGTTTGTTATCCATTATTTAAATACATTTTCATTGATTTTACTGTTGAAGCCACTGTACAACATTTATATTATAACTAATGTATACTTTATTGAATGCATAACTTAGAACAAAAACTCAAATCAAACCTTTTTTTTGTTTTTTATATATAGTTTTTTTTTTTTTTCTTTTAAATGGTCAGATCCACAGTTTTGAGAAAATTCCAGCAAGAGGCAGTAGAAGCTCATTTAAGTATTGTCAGTGCATCCATCTCTGTCTCTCTCTTCAGCTTTAACAAATGCAGGCGCTTTTCAGTAAATGCTACAAATAAAGTGTGTTACCACTATTATCAGCTTTGCTGAAATTAAATGTGCTGACAGTGTACGCTGAGTTTAAACATGTCTCACGTTTAAGCTCGAGTTTACACATACATGCTGGAGAAGTCTCGACTGGTCCACCTGCCTCCTCAGCAGAACAACTTCAGAATCTTCTACCTAATGGCTGAGGGCCTTTCCTCCGAGGACAAGAGTGCACTTTACCTCAACAATGTCCTGGCTCACAGGTGTGTGGTTGTTGCAAATAAATCATAAATTTATTGAACCAATTTAAAGCAAAGCCAATTAATAGTAACGATAATCTTTGGTGTGCTTAAGTTTTACCAGTTCAAAATACCTCTTTTTTTTTTTTAACAAAAATAGAGAGGGCTTTATTCAGACTTGGACTCTTGTTCTCTTCTCGGAAACATTTTCTATTGCTGCTCCATTATGTCATTTTTTTTATACCAGGTATCTAAAAGGAGGACATCCAGGAGAGAATCCTCCAGTAGCCACAGCATCTGTCCAGAGCAGGGAACATCTGGCTGCTGTCAAGCAAGCCCTGCGATCCCTGGGATTCAACAAACAGGTGATGATTGGCACATTCTTCCTACAGCCAAACGTTACTGACGTTACAGACATAAAAACTGTTGACCCTGATGGGTTGTTGCTGAGATTGCAATGTGCATTTCTCTAACGCAAAAGAAAGCTGTGTTTCAGCCAGCAAACACAAAAGTGTGCCCTTCAAAGGGCTCACACGTGCAGGTTTCACCTTGGACTTTTTCACAATAAGATTTAGAGGCTTTAAGGCAATCTGTCAAATCAAACAATAAAAGTTTTATCAGCACAATGACACAGCAACACCTCATAAATAATGGAAACAGACTGAGACAATCCCCCAAATAATTAAACAAGGACTGCCCCACTCACCACTGAATAATTGACCACTGCATGATGGGAGAGAGGACATGGAGGCCTGCAGGGGTCCATTTCACATGCCAATGTACGCACAAGAGGCACTCAGTCAAGCATGTATGTACAGACCTAAAATGTGTGAACAATAGCAACTGATACCTAATACAGAATTGTGTGCTTTGGTGCATTTCATCCTGTGCACTGCCAGGTGTGTTTCTCAGACCGTTAGCAGCTTTTATTCTTGCATCTTAATCTAGCATTTATTAGCAGTGACTGACCATCACCTCGCCTTTTAATCCAGCAGCAACCACTGCACATAAACATAACAGGTGGACGAACAGAGCGAAGGATGGTAGTCTTATCATATGGCATCATCGTCTGCTGGATGAGAAATCAAGGTGCAGAATGGAGGGGTGGGGGATTTGTGGAAGTAATAGACCACCTATTTGTCTCTGTCTACAGCTCTCATCAGCAGACAACTCTCAGACCCAAAGGTCAATCATCATTAACACTTCCTATCTGTTCTCTCCCATGTTTTTTTTTTTTAACCTTCCCCTCGCTAAGCATGGGAGAAATGAGAAGCGGGCGAGGATGGAGGGGGGGTCGCTCTGTGTATAGAGTGTCAGACAGAGACTAATGCTTGTATTTATCTCCCAGATATCAGCTCCAATATCCTGCCCTGAGAGGGTTCACACACAGATATGTGCACACACATCCTCAAACTCGGGCTTTCCCCCATACTCCTTCCTAGATACAGAGCAATTGAATAGTGTGTGTGTATGGGGGGAGGGGGGTCCATAAGATGTCCTCTACTGAAGGGCACAGAGCAAGGGTGTGATAGAGGAGGAGAGGTGTGCGAACAAAGAGTTAGGACACCGTTTTGTTCAATGTTCAACACTTTGTAATGATGAAGCTGTGACTATTCTCCATTTAATTTGTTGCAAGAGAACAAGCGAAAAGATGGATGGATGGATGGATGGATGGATGGATGGATGAAATTCAATGAGACATTCCCCAACATTATCCCTATTTACAACAAGGCCTGCTTTTAAGTGAAACTGTAGCATCTCTGCTGCCTTTCGGCTGATTGTGTGCATGATAACAGCTTGAGTTTGCTCTGACTCCAGGACTTTTTGAATCCAGGTGTCAGAGTGGAGTTTTGGGGGTTGCAGTCTATAGCTTTTCTGCACTTGCACAAATTGATGAACAACAGTAGAATAGCAGATAGTACCTCATAGAGTACTATTTGTGCTCTCACCTTTTTCAACATGCACAAGCAAACCAACATCGTCCTTGATCCAAACAAACGTTTACGTACTCAGCATTTTGACCGTAACCGTTTTCATGCTCGAGACACTTAAGTCACGAGCATGAAAACGCATGCACGTGTCATTGAAATACTAAAATCACAGCACCAGTTAGTGACCTGGCATGGACACTAACCAGATTCAATGAGCGCAGCATTAAGCGTGTACATTTCTCACAATCAATACATGAACAGTCGTACATTTCCAGAGATTGTGCATGTGTAATCCGGGCCACTGCCTTCGAAATTCCTTTTTTGTTTACCAGGTTCATGCTACAAATGAACAGTTTAAAAAAATCAGCAGATTTATTCATTTTTTACAATTTTCATAGTTTTAAAACAAGCAAGTGGGACATTCGTCTATAAGTTACTTCAACTCCAGGTGAGATCTTTATAAAATTAACTGATGGAAAATAATCCACCTGACCAGTATTGTCAAAGTGAGGTTACAAGTCTTTAGACAGAACCTACTGAATCTTTGACTATAAAGACATGTTCAGGGGTGTCAAACTCACTTGCAAAAGGGGGCCAAAATTAAAACTTTTTCAAACAAAGGGCCAGTTTCAGAATCTACATTACTCAAGTTAGATACCCAACATATTTTCTTGGTTGCAGGTTCCTCAACAAGAGTTTGATTGGTCTCATGTGGTGTTCCCTGCTGCACTTTCTACATCATAACCAAAGATTACTGAAAAGAAAATCAAGTGATAAAGGTATTTTATGTCTAACAAATCATCTTGGGGGCCAAATAAGATGTCACTAAGGGCCAGATTTGGCCCCCGGGCCTTGAGTTTGACACATGTGGTAGTCATTTGTTGATGTCAACAAATCAGTGACTTCCAAACAGATTGTGGCTCTAGAGGTTTTGATTTGCAGACCAGTAGCTGCCATGATGGATCAGTGGTTGAATGGGAGGATGGAACACGCTGGTCAGCTTATTAAGAATAAAGGGCCTTGCATTCCTTGAAGGAACACACATCTCCCACTGATATTCATGCCAAAGTTAAAAAAAGATCCTATTGCTTGAGGAATGTCAAAATCTAATTGTTTTGGTCAAACTTTGAAAAAAATAAAGTGTACAATGTCAAGTCAAATTTATTTTTAAAGCACATTTAAAAGAACAGCAATTACCAAATGCTTAACAATAAGATAAAGGCAGTAAATTAAAGAAAGAGAACAAGAACAAGATGTAATTAAAGGCATCAAAATAAAAACGTAACATAAAAAGCAATGAGAAACAATGATCTACTAAATGAAATCATACTGTGTTAAACATCAGTGAAAACCAGTGTTTTTAGGAGATTTATAAAAGCATGGAGCTGTTGCAACATGTAGTGAATAACTCTGAAATACTACCGCATCACAGTTGAGCTCAGTATCTGTAAAATGGACTGATTATAGCAATTTTTGTGTTGGCTAAGGTTGATTTGCTGTGGTGGCCATCTTGAACTGAGTTGACTCCAAAAGTCAATCAGTTGTACATCCAATGCTGTTTTTAGAGGTTTAATCAAATTTGTCGAGTGTTTCATAGTACATTTTGTAACAAACAGAAAAAGACACACACACAGACACCAGCAAACCAACAACAAAAAATATGTGTTTTTTTCCCTTTAGCAACACACAATAATGTGCATGGATAAAATCCATGTAGTACAGAACGTAAAGTCTAAAATATTGTCTCAGAGGTTGGATTAGCAATATGAAAGATAAAATTGTTTTTTTTTTTCTTTCATGTGCTTCTATTCCAAAAACACAAAAGGTCATTGTACTTAAAACATTGCTGAACTAAAGAAGTGAGTAATGTTCAAAATTCAAGCTGTCCTGTTTTATTGTCAAACTCTCATATTCTCTCAAGTTACAGCATAACTTAATTCAATTTACCAGAAAGCAAAATATCCTCAGATGACATGTAGTTGCAAATGTAGAAAATTTAACAACAAAATATTCAAGTTGAGAGAAAAACGTTGAAAAATTACATAATTCACTTCAATGCAGTTTATTTGTACAGATCCAAGTCACAACAGACATCATCTCAGGGCACTGAACAGAAACATTCATATTTAAAAATAATTATTTAACATTATTTATCAGAGGAGCAAAATGCTTTGAATTTAACTCCATCACAGAACTCTCATCTTGAGCAAGCATGAAGGCGACAGTGGAAAGGAAAAACACTGAGGAAGAAACCTTTAGCAGAACCAGGCTCAGGACAAGTGACCATCTGCTTCAACCGGCTGGGTTTGAGAAGAACAGATACACAATGGCAGGTCAAGAATCACATGTTAAACTATAAATAGTATTGAATGAAAAGTATTCAATTTTAGCAAATCATTTAAGGAAAATAGGTCAATTTGTCCTCAGTCCTAACTGTAGGATTGATCAAAAAGGAAAGACTTAAGCTCAGTATTTAAACTGGACAATGTGTCAGCTTCACAGATAGAAACTGGAATTTACTTCCACAAGAGAGGAGCCTGATAACTGAAAGATTTTCCTCCCATTCTGGTTTTGGAAACTCTAGGAACTACGAGTAAGCCTGGAGTCTGAGAGTGAAGTGCTCTGTTAGGAAAATATGGAACAATAAGATCTCAAATATAAGATGGAGCTAGGTTGTTGAGAGCTTTGTTGGTTAGAAGTAAGATTTTGAATTCAATTCTGGATTTGACAGGGAGCCGACGGAGAGAAGCTAAAACTGGAGCGATATAATCTCTCCCACTAACTCCAGTTAAGACTCTGGCAGCAGCATTTTGGATCAACTGAAGACTTTTTAAAGAAGTATTTGGACACCCTGATAACAAACCATTGCATTAGTCCAGTCTAGACGTGACAAATGCATGAACCAGTTTTTCTGCAACATTTTTAGATGTTTCTAATTTTAGTGATATTATACCATACCATACCATTTTATTTATAGAGCACTTAAAACAGCAACAAGGCCAACCAAAGTGCTGTACAGGCAGAACAACAGGTAACACACAAAGCAAAATACAAAATGAAGTATATCAGAATATAGACATAAAAACGATGCAGATAATGACGACAAACCAGTGTGGAGCATACAGGTTCAAAACACAGATCATCTGGTGTTGAAAGCCACCGAATAGTAGTGGATTTTTAAACGGGACTTGAAAACTGAGAGGGAGGGGGCCTGTCTGACAAGCAGAGGTAACTCATTCCAAAGTCTTGGTCCTGCTACAGAGAAGGCCCTGTCACCTCTGCGCTTAAGACGAGTTCCTGGAACTGTGAGGAGCAACTGGTCCGCTGACCTCAGGGAACGTGGTGGGACATACGGTTGTAGCAGATCAGAGATTACATTATGCGGAAGAAGGCGGTTCTAGTAACGTAACATGTTAGCAACATAAAAAATACTATTTGCAAACAACTAAATTTGACTAAACTTTGAAAAAGAAACTGCACCTTAGTGTTGTAAATTTATCATTTATTTAAAATGTGTTTTATTGAAAATGCATGCTGTTATTATAGAAACTTTCCACATTTTCTAAACAAATGTATTATTATTATTATTATTATTATTATTATTATTATTATTATTTGGGTCCGTCTTTTTTTTTTCAGCATTCTCTTTAATACCATTTTAACCTGAGTAACTCCAACCCTTTGCATATTTTGTGTTTTTGACTCTTATAGGAGGTGGACTCTGTGTTTACGCTGCTGTCTGCTCTGCTTCAAATTGGGGATCTACGTTTCACTGCTCTGACTGAGGCCAATGCAGCCTTCCCCTCCGACCTGCAGCTGCTGGACAGAGGTCAGGATCAAATTCTACCTTTTCAGAAATGTTGCTAAATGTTACTTCCTCCCACTTTGATGCGTGCTTCACAGCTTCCCAACAGTACATAAAAGTCAGCTACTTGTTTGACCATCAGAGAATAACACTGTTTAGACTCAGTTCCCTCTCTTCTTTTGACCCCCGACCTTGTGTGTGATAATAAACAGCGTCATCATTGCCTGAATAGGAAACGGCCACTAGATGTCAGGGAGATGTGATGTCATGGCTGATGATAGTCAAGGGCTTCTGGGTTGTCGTCACCTGTTTTTGCTGCCTGTTTATGGATTCTGCTTCAAAGTTTAGTGATGACTAATCACTGACAGCTCTGCCAATCACTTAAGGACTCAAGTGGATCAGAGTTCATCTTGCTGTGTCATCAGCATGGTGTCATTATCAGAGCAGACAGCTTTATGTCTGATGCTCAGTTAATGATTAATACTGTTATTTTGATGTTTTTCATCATGTCATGTGCTCAAATGTGTGTTTTTTCTTTCCTTTCTCTCCCTAGTTGCTGGATTGTTGCAGGTGTCCTCAAATGACTTAAGCACTGCCCTCACCTCAGATGTTCAATATATCAAAGGTATCAGAGGAGTGACCCTCACCCTTCTATATTCTTTAAATGTTATGCATCACAGAGAATGATTATAATGGGACTCAGAAGTGTTTATTTTGCCCCATGTAGATTAAGATTTTTTTGTTTTATATTTGCTAATTTGTTTTGCTTAGAACATTTTATGAATGAATGCATGTATAGGACTGTGTCCAGTAGCAATACAGCTGCAAGTTATAGTAGAAAATATTTATATATATATTTTTTTTTTATTATCTTTGAAAAAGATAATTAGAAATCATACAACCAAAACCTACATTGCTGGTCTCACTACTCTCTTGTAAAGCTTAGTTGATTTTGTTGCTACCTTTTTATAAAAAATTAAAATAAAAAAAAAATCACTCCTGAAATGTTTCTCCATTCACTCCATCCTGGCTGGACTCTATTATTCACCTCTTTACCACACTCCCTGTTTTAAAACATCATGGCCATCTGGCCTCGACATTCCCATACCTCCTCTGGTATGTCATCAGGTTCATCATCTTTCCCTAACTTCATCCTCTTTAAAGCTCTCCAAATGTCATCCTCACAAATATTTCCCACTTTGTGCTTCACAGTGTCTATGACCTCTACTCTTCTTTCCCTTTTATTCTCTTAATTTATTAGCTCCTAAAAGTACTCCTTCCATCTTCCCTTCACATGTCCCTTGCTTGTTAGACCATTGCCATCTCTATCTTTAACAAGCCTAACCTGCTGCATATACTTTCCAGCCTGATCCGTCTCATCAATCCGTGCAAGTCCTTCGTGCCCTCTTTAGTGTCCAGCCTCCCATACAACTCTTCATATGCCTTCTGCTTTGCCTTAGCTACGTCCCTCTTTGTTCTACATTGCATCTCCTTATATTCCTGTCCCCTCTCTTCAGTCCTCTCACTGTCATATTTCTTCTTGGCTAATCTCTTTCTTTGAATAGTTTCATGCACTTCACTATTCCACCACCAGGTTTCCTTATCTATTCTCTGTCCAGACGACACACCAAGTACCTTCATACCTGTCTCTCTAATTACAGTTGCTGTAGTAGCCCAATCATCTGGAAGCTCTTTCTTACCACCAAGAGCCTTTAACATCTTCTCTCTGAACTCCTCACAACATTCTTTCTTCCTCAAATTGCACCAATTGATATTCTTCTCTACATTTACTTTTTTCATTTTCCTCACCTTAACATTCATCCATCACACTACCAGCTGACTTGGACAGATGCAAATGGTAAACCTCACTCAAACAGTGGTGGGTGGCATGTGTCCAAGTAGGCCATGTCTACTAAGTTAACACAATCAAGGAATGGTTATGTTAAACTGGGAATAGGGCACTTTCAGAAACTTTTCTTCTTTCATACTTTGCACACTCACACAAAATGCCTTGTTGAGCTCCTTTAGTGTACCTACTTATTTTTCCCCTGTGTAATTAATATATTAGTGAACACGTTATAGATTTTTTAACACAGTGCAGGTATTTATTATTGTCAACTGTCATCAAAAAAGTGTGGTCATACAGGCCTGTCTGTTAGTAAATTAACTCATATTCCAATAGACAAATTTCTTATGAACTTATAATGAAACTCTCAGTAGTAATCAATGATGTACACCTACAACTGAATGACTTTTAGTCAACTGGATTCAAGATAGCTGTCACAGCCAACTGACCTTTGCAAGCAACAAAACGGCTATAACTGTAATTTTTACAGATATTCAGCTAAAATTTGGTAAAGTGTAGGTGAAAGTCACCACTATCACATACTTTAAGGGGTGACTAATTGTAGGACATGTTTGTGGGAAACTTTGGCAAAGCAATATGCTACGTTCATCTGATGAGCACTAGTCCTTGACCTCTTTCAGCCACAAATACAGTACAGGAAGACAAATCTAATTCTGATTTCCATGAGCCAGAAATGTCATGGCCTTGTTATTTTTTTAATGTTTGCTTGTTTTTCAGGCGACGTGATCACTCGGCGTCACACTGTAGAGATGTCAGAACAGTACAGAGACCAGCTTGCTAAATCCATTTATGGGCGCCTCTTCAGCTATCTGGTCAATAGTATAAACGACTACCTTCAAGGACAAGATGACAGCATAGGGTAAACCTCTGTGTGTGTGTGTGTGTGTGTGTTTGATTGTGTTCATGCATCCCAAGAAGTGTTTTCACTCACCACATTAGAAGCAGACATTCTTTCAGGGCCTGCTATGTGTTTGACACTGATAGTTTAGCATTACTTGAAGTCTGAGGAGCAGTTTTGTGATAGTTTACATTTCACAACTCGCATGTTTAAGCATGTATAATATAAATGTGAAGGCCAAAGTAGAACAGAGACGGAGGACACACCTGATGTTTAATGTTTGGAGAAGTTTTATACAAAAAAACACTGAAAAAAAAAAAACTTGATCCAGTTAGGTGAAGGTCAGGGGATCCTTGGTGTTGTTGATGTTGTGGAGTCTTATCACACGCTGACAGATAACCCACATTAAATCTTTTGGAATGTGTTTGCTCCTTGCCTTGTTTACGCACCGACCACTGAACATAATAAATGTGTCAGCCACACATTTATGGCACACCCATTTTCAGATGGTATTGCACATACATGCAGACATGCGTTACGCTGGTCGTCAAGGCAGCGCAGAAAACAACTTCTCACACAGATTCCATATTCAAACTGATAATATAATAAACATGCTTTTGTCTTTTTCATGTACTTTCCAGTGATCCTGCTATGGAAATTGGAATCTTGGACTTATCTGGGTTTGAAGAATTTCAAAAGAATGAATTTGAGCAGGTGGGAAGGCGCTTTTTAATGGAGTTTTATCATTTACAAATAAAGGATAATGATGTTAATCTACAGAGTCACTGTGGCCATCTTGAGCTGCAGAGAAATATGTGGAATCATAAAGTTCAACAGGTCTCAGTCAGACCGTTTAAATGTTTGGAGTGCTTATCGGTTGCAACCCTGACATTTTTGTGAGTAATTGTAATGAATGAGCTGAGGTCTGTGGCTGACTGTGGCGTGATATTTCGGCTGTCCTCAGATGAACTGATGCTTGACACAATAACTGTCTGTGTGTGAGATGTGGGCAGCCTCACACGGGTCAGTGCAAGTGTGTGTGTTTATATATGAATGCGTTGAGGTGGGAAACCCTAGTTTAGAAATATATTTAGTCTAAGATGCATTACGAGCCACAGCAGAAAATGAGTACGTTTTTAAGAAAACAAAGCATAAAATTCTGGAAAAAGTTGAAGTTGGTTAAAACATTAATATTTTAAATATGTGCCGACGTAAATCAACATCTTTCATAATATTTTTGCAATGTTCTTGCAGAAGTTGTAAAAAAAATATTTTGAATTTAAACCAAAACTTTAGAACAACAACACAATTGTTTAACCCAGCCCAGGACCACCATTCAGTATACAGTAATATACCAGTTTTTATAATACATTTAAAATCAAACTGATCTTTTAATTTCTTCAGTATGTGGAAAAAAGGTTGTTTTTCTTCTGTTTGTTGCTATACTTAATATGTATTAATAGAGGCTCTGTCTTTGTTTGAATAAACTGTAAAATTGATCAAAATTATTATTATTATTATTAATATTACTATACAGTGATTTTTTTTTGTTCGGTTTATTGGGTTTCATTCATAATAAGAATCTTGATTTTTTTTTTTTATGAGCTGTATTTTTCCATGATTTCTAGTCTGTGTGTGTGTTTTCTTGTGTGTATGCTCACAGATAAACAGCTTACATTTCTCCCCTTATTTTCACATCAATTACTGAACATTAGAGCCACACATGCAGTGTGTAGACTGATCCAACTCACCTGTAACACCTGTTAATCTTTCGACCTTCATCAAACCCACTCTGTTAATAGACTAATCTTTGATCAAATCAGCAGGGATTCATCAGACAAGTGTGTGTGTGTGTGTGTGTGTGTGTATGTGTGTGTTTGTGTCAGTAATTCATAGCGCTCAAGTGGGTAAGTGCTTATAGCTCCTATTCAGAGCTTACACTTCCTCCCGGTGGAGCTGCTGGTTTCCTCCAGCTTTTACTAAAGGCCCTGTGTGTGTTTGTCTTTGCCTTTTGGAAGCTTGTGCGCTTGTGATGTTTGTGTCTGTGTGGCACCAAGATAAGTGGCTCGACTCATCAGGATGCTTTCTAATCGAGGCGGAAATGAAGGATTGTGCAACCTTTTTTTCAGGTCTTAAAAAGTCAGAAAGGCTGCACGATAGGAACATAATAATAATAATAATTATAATAATTTAAAGTATTTGCAGGAGATTGCATTTTAGATTCGAAGCCGCACTTTGCTACCACCTAGCAAAAGACGTCACAACCTTTTCTTTGTGCATTTATTTAGTAAGGGACACGCTCTGACATGTTTGTACACTCATATACACATAAACAAAAACAACGCATAGCATGATCAGTGTTATTAGAGCTTGTTAATTAAAACCATGTTTGTCAAGTGGTGTTGTACCTGCTCAGCACTTTACTAATGAGCTTACTCAATCAACCACCTGCTGGGACTAAGCTCTTAATGGGCTAGACTTGCTGGGAGGTAAACAATAGACAAGCATGGAGGAAAGGAAAACAACTATGGCCGCCCACATCATGAAACATCGCTCCTACTACTGAGTCGATGGGGGGTGGAACCCGAAATGTGGGTCATGACACAGTTTTGTCACAAATACATGACTGTGTTAAGAGCACAGCAGAAACATGCAAATGACTGATTATCGCTCAGCAAATTACCTTTTACAGAAAACCCCAAAGGCTCATGGAGGTATCTTTATTCTGAGCTATGTTTTATATAAAGCATCAACTACACTTACTTTGATGTACACTTTTCAACAGGCATGTTTTGCTGCGTTTGCACAGCCCACCCCCATGCAAATGGTATTTTTGATGGGGAAAAACAAAGATTTTTGGAAACAGTTTTCAAAATGGAGAGTTGTAAATATTATTTTTGAGAGACAGAGATTTTTGGAAGCGATAAGCAGCAGCTTGTTTTGTGTATGCAAACTTTTTTAACTTGTTTAGAAACCACAGTAAAATAAGACGTTTTTGTCCTTTTTACATCCTGATCTATTTGCAGTAAACATCAGTCATGTGCTGAACTAGAATATTGCAAACAATGTAAAAACAAGAGTTGTGTTAAGAATTTATAGCCAACAGTGTTCTTTTTTTACTTTTTAAGTCTTAAATGTAGATGTTACAGACACCTTATGGAATAAAATAAGTATTTCAGCATTTTTGTTTAAACCTCTGATATGAGATCTTGTTGTTGTTGTTGATTATTTAAAAAAAAGGAAAATAAAACATTGGTTTAAAACATATACAGAGTATGCAATCAGGGTATATACAAATGGTTTATTCCATAAAAACAAATAATTGCATTTGTTCAGTCATAAAACAACAGAAAACGAAGCAATGACTTTATAATATTTTGCTCCGTGTCAAATCCAGAATTGAATCCAAAATATTACTTCTAACCTACAAAGCTCTCAACAACCTAGCTCCATCTTATGTTCAAGATCTTATTGTTCCATAATTTTATAACAGAGCACCAAAGTTTATACTCAATGATCCAGGTATAAATTCAACAATGTTCAGTCAGGTCATCTGGACAGTTTCATTTTTTGCTGACACGTATCATATTTCATCCAAAGGACTTCTTCAGTCTGAGGAGCCACCAACAAACTGAGTCCCACAAACAGCATACTGCCATAGTGGAAAAAACTGTTTGCTGGTAATAAGATGGCCTCTGGGGCCCACCCTCTACCCCATCATGATGAAAACATTTATGAATGAAACTTGAGGAAGTTTAAATTAAACATTTTGGATCAATCCATTAAAACCTTTAGAATAAGACTTTTTAAACTGCGTTTCTAAAACTAGACCTTAAATACTCCAAAATTCAAATATGCAAAAATATTTTCCCCCATATTCAGATTAATATATTGTCACAAGAACAATTTTACAGAACATATATTTCTACAGTGTATTTTGGGGAGCTATTTTTATTGAGCATGACAACTATGTTACAACAAGAAGAAAAAAAAAAGCCTAAAAAACTTTTGTTTTTGTTTTTGAAGATTTTATTTTTTTGTCTTAATAAAAATTTATTTGAAACAGCCCTTGGACTCTTTTAAATATTTTGATTTGGCCCTTTGGATAAAATAGTCGCTCACCCTGAAGGTCACCTCAGGTCCATCATGTTCGAAGGAGGAAGTTACGAATGTGAACAAAGTTGTTAATTTTAAAGTATGAAAAATAAAGTTGTTGAAGTCGTTATTAATGTGAATGCAAGTAGAATTATTATTTTTTTTACCTGTTTACCTCTATATCCCTTCATTATTATCAAGTCACCCTTAAAGCTGAAGGTTTCACTCACTCACTTAGTCCATATTCGAGTGGAATAAGTGGCAGGGAGGATTTTTAGTGTTTATAAAATCCACAGAGGGTCCATTAATGAGCAAATTCACATTTTCTATGTTCCATGAGCAGTCAGATTACTCATGCCCCATTGACTGCCTCAGCAGGTTCTGTTTGCGTTTGTATTGGTGCCTTTGTTTGCTTTAAAAAACTTCCAGTTGTGTGCCTCTGGGAACCACACGGTGTGTTTACAGTGCCATGTGTGCGTGGGTGTGTGTCTGTTCCAGCTGTGCGTGAACATGGTCAACGAGCGGCTCCGGCAGTACATCTCTGAGGTGCTCTTCCAGCACGAGCAGGCCGAGTGTCGGCAGGAGGGCATCGCCATGGAAACCACCCACTCCCACAACCACCAAAGTGCTGCTCTGGACTACTTTCTTCAGGTAGTTTTGACTGGTTTTGACTAGTCGGGTCCAATTTGATCTCTTGTGACATGATTTAATATTGTGAATCCTACTCTGCAATTTAATAAAAGATTTAAAGTCACGTGGTCAAAGTGAAGAAGCAAATGTTTCTACAAACCAATATTTGCTCTGGTTGACAGCTTTCTAATTTTTGAAGCATAATGCACAGTATAAAAGATGAACTACCAGGTTTGAATGTGACAAGGGACCTCTACTCTCTTCACCCAACATCCTGATGACTTTTCTTTTAAGGTCAACATAAATATCGACCTAAAAACATGAAACAGAGAAATCTGTCTTAACCTACTTTGTATGGAAGAGAAAGCTCTGCTCTGCGAGGATCAATACGTGTCACAAGGAATAATAAAATACTGGAATCAAGTATGCTTCGTTTAAATATGACCAACATAAATAACACATGAATGTGTGCTTGTTGTTGCTGCAGAAGCCTCAGGGACTGCTGTGTGTGTTGGACGAGGAGAGCCAGAGCCTGCGGCCTGCAGAGCAGAGCTTTTACAAGAGGCTGTCCTCCCAGCTGGACTCTAGTCCCATTCAGGAGCTCTCTTTCACCACCAAGGACGGCAATGGCAACCCTCCACCCAAAGACCAAGGCCCAGCTTTCATCGTCAGTCACTATGCAGGACAGGTCTGTCTGGACTCTTGAACAAAAAATGATAATCTAAATCATCACAACCTCTGACAGATGCATTCAGATGGATATTATTTGGACACCTGACACCAACCTAAACATTTCTGCTATGCAAGCGCTGCTATCTCAAACAGTGTACTCTCAAAAAGCCTAAATAGATTTGAATCGGATTGAAGCTAACTCCATATAGATGATTCAGAAGGTCAAAATGAGCAAACACTCATGTGTTTGTACAAAACAATTTAGGATAACAAGTGATTTTTTCTCCATGTTCTAACTGGTTGGAGCTGTTTTAATGGCTGCACTCGGTCTGTACTGGGTAGTCATAAGGGTTTGTTGGTTTTTGCAGTGGGTGCAAGGATAGTTTGGCAGAACATGAAATCAGTAAAAAAAAAATTACAGTAAACTTTTAATTCCTACCTAATACATATCTGTATTTCAAGAAGCTAATGTCTCCCTCCTTTTATATTTTAAATATTGTATACATTTTAAGGCAAACAGAAATGTTACAATGCTAAACCTAAAACATAAGAAGTGATAAATTGCATTGTTAAATAGAAAAGTGTCATAGTCGTGTGTTGGAAGGACCAGAACAAGCTTACAGCACGGAAGTAGGAAATAAAATAACAATGAAAAACAGAAAGTGCTGCTGGACAGGTAGAACCAATAATAATAATAATAATAATAAAATACATACAAATAATGCTCAAAGAATGCCCATAACTGAAGCAGCCCAAAAGAAATCCAGATTTATACAATTAAATGGATGCAGGTGTGGCATTCACAAATCAATACCAGGTGTGAAAGAAGAACAGGTAAACAAAACTGACAAGGAAAGAGGAAGTAAAGGTGACATTAAACAACATTAACATGAAATGGAAGTTAAACTCAGATTAAGAATCTGCACCTCATCAAAACAAGACTATGACATACATATTGATGAGAGAACAGTGTCACTTTGTTATTTTTAAATATTCAGGCTTTTTCTGAGGATGAGGACGTTTGACATAATTACAAATAGTCCTGTAGTTTGTTAACAACAAATTTAGAATAAAAATAAATCAATCACTCACCTTGGCAATATTTGCTTGACACTGACACAGTTTCTGGACATGTTTAGTTAAGCAGCAACATGATTTGTTCCTACAGTCGTTCACTTTTGACTAATGAATGCACTTTAGTTGAATATAAAAACGCGTGTGCTCAAGTATTTAGATGAGTATAAAAATAAAAACTGATCAGTGTGTACATTACTAAAAATATGAACATAGAACAATTTGTATATTTAAGCCAAGTTTTTTTTTTAATCATTTTTAAGATAAGTATAGCTAATGCATTTGTGCATCTATCCATCCATTATCTTTTACCTGCTTCTTCCATTTTGGGTCTCGGGCGTCCCCGGTGCCCATGTCCAGCAATCACTGTGCGAGGGACGGGGTACACCCTGGACAGGTCTCCAGTCCATCACAGGGACATAGAGACAAACAACCACTGACTCTCTCACTCACACCTAGGAACAATTTAGAATTACCAATCAGACTAACATGCATGTTTTTGGTCTGTGGGAGGAAACCGGAGTGCCCGGAGAAAACCCACGCATGCACGGAGAGAGCATGCACACTCCACCCAGAAAGGCCCCCGGACCGGGATTTGAACCAGGGACCTGCGAGCTGAGAGGCAGCAGCTCTACCAGTTGCGCCACCATGCTGCCGCATTTGTGAATTTTATATTTTATTTCATTTTTTACAGTTCAGCATACTTGTACTAGAAGATGGGACTGTTATTAGGCACTGTGGTGGATTAGAGGAGGAACAGCTGAGCTTCTACCCTGAAGCTGTTAAAATTCATTAATCCCACTAATCAAGGTCAACGACAAGGTTCTTATTGTCATTTGCATCACATGTAGTACATGGGGTGGAATGAAATCGTGAATGCACGGTTCCAGTTAAATCCAACAACAGCAAAAATATAAAGTGTAAAAAGAAAGATTAAACAAGGATCAATATATAAACTAAGATATACGCCAAACAAACACCAAACGGCATGTCAAACGATCCACGATACACGCCAGTCACCAATAGTGTAAAACAATACACCGAACAACAGCAGCACAAACATGAGTCTTTGTGGGTGGATGAGTATGGATGCATGAATACAGCAGTATGGAATAATCAGCAGCATGAGATCAGCAGCATGGATAATCAGCAGCACATATCACCAATCAAAGTTGCATGACAGTGATTTTTTTTTTAAAACAGTGATAATTCTGGTTAGCACTGATGCCTCACAGCAAGAAGGTGCTGGGTTTAATCCCCGATTTGGAGCAGGGATCTTTCCGTGTAGAGATTGCGTGTTCTCCTGTGCTCCAGTTTCTATCTACAGTCAAAAAACATGCATGTTAGGCTGCCGTCAGGCCCCGGCCTCCTTTGCAACAGAGATCTGTGATTCAATGGGATTTGCCTTTTTTTTTTTTTAATAAAGATGACAATAATCTTCATGCCTTCATAACGTCACCAAATAAACTCTAAATCGTTGTCATCAGTTTCACTTTCTGATTTCTTGTCTCTATTAGATTTCATATGACCTCACAAGAACCCTTACAAAAAACAAGGACTCCCTCCCTCAGAATCTGCAGCTTACAATGAAGTGTAAGTATCCAGCACTTATAACGAATGTAAGCACATTGTGTCGTCAGAGCGTGCTCAGGCACAAAGACGCTGCCTTGTTTAAAAACGAAGCAAACAAAAATCACTTCTTGTCTTAGTCTGGTTGTGGTTATGAGTGTGTTTCATCCCATGTGCAGCAGGCACTGTCTGTGTGTAAATTGTCTAAATAAGCTGCCAGATGTGGGGTGTTGTGGCTACCAGGACACAGGCAGTCGTTGTGTGAATGCCAGCCTAGCCTTGCATCCAGCAGCCTAATTGGTATAATTTCCATGATGAGGCTAATCTTTTAAAGACTAACCCTTTACTCATTCTTGGATCTCACTCCTCTGTCTGACAAGTCCAAGCATCTAGCTTACATCCACAGAAAGCCACAAACCGTGTTTTCTTTTTTTAATAATTATTTTACATGTACCAATCCTCCCTTTATGTTTAAGACTTCAAGCAAAAATAAATCTGCAATATTACAGTAATTTAAATGAAAGTGTAATGCTGTAAACGCATTGAGACACATTGAGACTGGGAAAAAAAAAGTCAGTCCTGAGACTCGAGGACAAGCTCCAGATGTGTGGCTGGTTCTTTAAGAATTTACAACAAGATTGCTTCTAAATCGACGCTACTTGAAACTAAAGTGTTATAGAGAATATTTCAGGAACTCCTGTAGAAAAGACTAGATAATGGTTTACTGATGTGCCAGAGGCTATCGGTGCCAATGAAGACTAGGCATCCTGCTTGTAAGATTTTTAATAATATTTTTATTTTGTCAGGTTAAAATTGTTAAAATTACTGATACAAAAGCTCATAAATGTTTTTTTTTTCTACTTTATCCACCTGAATCAGTTCTCCTGTATTTTGTTCTCTTTATTTTCCTGAACGTTTCTGATGAGAGAGTCACTCATCAACTTCTACACTCACATTGTTTTTCTAAATGACTTTATTGTTGTCGACAGCTCCATGGGTTGTGCACAGTGCACCCCCTCTGCCTGACTGACTGTTTATATGTTTGAATCTTCATTATCCTTCATTTTTCCTCTTCTCATCCTTTTTTTTTCTATCCTTGGTTAAGTCCACCTGAAGCAATTTTTTCCACTTTCCTTTCTATTCATTCTATTTTCTCCATATTGTCCTCCACCCCCTTTCTCCACCAATACTGTGGCTTACTCTACACTTCTTGTCCTCCCTCTTTGCATGTATGTGCTTGGTGCCTGGCAGCCAGTGAAAGCGTGTTACTGCAGCAGCTCTTCCAGTCCAAGCTGACTCAGACTGGTTCTCTGGTGCCAGCAGCCCAGGGCCGCATAGGGCTGAGAGGGACTAAAGCTGCCTTGTTGTTCCAAAAGATGCCATCAGCATCCTCTGTCAATGCTACTTCTGTCCCCCAACAGCCCCGGAGGTACCATGATCTCACTAAGGTAAAGCATATTGGAGCTGTGACTATTTAAGTACCTGAGTTCAGTTTAAGCATCAGCACTTGACAGAGTCTAAAACATTTCATGATAATTACATTATCTAAGACCACTGTTTAAAATGGGACAAACAAGTGACAAAACCATAAGGACCTTTAAGTTCCAAAAGACAACAGTCTCCTGGGCCTATCTATGGAAAAACAGGGACACTATCTTTAGAAGGAAAAAAATCTAATTTAATCTACTTCCCACCACACTTCTATATATAAACCTCTGGGAATTGGATTTGTTTGTGCACCCATGCATGAGATAAAAGCCTGTCAAGAATGCACACGATCACATGGAGTTTTGGGCTTGTACACAGTTTTGCAACCTCTAAAAAAATGGCACATGTCAAACCAATGTTCTAGTTCTTGTTTAATGTCGGCTTTCCCGCTTTGCATCACCCTCTTTTTTGTCTGCACTAGTATTGGAATAAACACAGAGTACTTCTCCACATTGTGAGTAAAAAGCCTTTCCTGTTGTGTAATCTCCTGGAGGTCCAGTCTTCTGTCTCTGTGGCTTATTAGCCATGTAGAGCAAAGACCCCCTTTCAGCTCCCTGAACTGTCCCAGCAGTTTTATACAGGAACATTAAATAATGTTGCTGAGCTGCTGAGTAAGACTGTAAATATAACATTATGGCACAGTAAATGCCATGGGTCTTGTTAAGCTTTAAATCATAAAATCATGGCTGGGACTAAGTTATGTGGTGGGGCTATTTACTGTAATTGCAAACATGCTATCAAAGACACCATCATCATCATGTTTTGGCCTCTATTTTAGACCAGACAATCAAATTTAATGATAATACTTGCGCACAATGTTCTGTGCTCCTTCTTGGTCACATGAGGCTAAGCTCATATACTAATGGCTTCTCATTTCGTTGTCAGATCTTGAAGAAAAAAGGCTCAAGTTCTTTCCTCCAGCGACTGGAGCGTTGTGGGCCCATCACAGTGGGTGTCCAGCTAAAAGTAAGAACAATTTCTATTATCTTTTATGCACTGATGCATGAAACCAGTAGAAACATGCCATTTAATGTTTGAGTCACTTTAAATGTTACCTTTGAGTCTCGTTTTTATTGTTATTGCCTGCAACTGAAAAGCAGGCGGTGATGTTTTTACCTATGACTGTGCATGTGTGTATTTTTCTGCCCTTTATCAAAATATTTCATGAACAACTGGACAGACTTTAATGAAACTCCTAGGAAGTGCCTGTAATCATTTCATGCACATTTACAACTGATTATCTTATCTAGTTCACCCAGTTCAACATGGCCAACACAGTTAAGCAACATTAGCCAACATTAAAATGCCTATAACTTAGTTAGTTTTACAAGTGTGGAGCTAAAATTTGTTGTGGTAGTGTCTGAGAATCACAATGCACAACTCAAGTGCTAGCACATTGCGTAACACCTCACAGTATTGTGAGACATTTCATGGTATTTACAAAGTTTGACTTAAACAGTTATAACAATGTCAAATTTTAGCATAAGTTTAACTTTGTCTACGACTCTAGCATAAAAGGCAGTGTGTTTTTTTTTTCAATGAATGCTATGTCTTTAATTTACCTAATATTCCCAAAGTTACCATCAAGCATCTGGGTCACATCTTATCTTTGAACAAAGAAGGTGCTTGCTAGGGTTTATTTTAGTTTTGCTCTTATCTCAAGTCTTTGCCTTCGTCACAATAGTACTCATAGTCTTTTACAAGAATTCTAAGACGTACGCAGTGATTTCATAACTATTTAAAGCAACAATAATGTTCAGTTGGCAAAGAGCAGTTCAGCCAGTGGCACTGACGCAAGAAGGCTGAGATGTGGTCCAGAGGAGGAGTACCTTTGGTCTGAATGAAACCACTGTGTTGCACAATCAGAGTTGTGGACTTGTGGTTGACGAGCCCCTCAGGGAATGGCAATGAGGGAGCGAGTGGGCTGAAGAATGATGCTGTACCAAGCCAAACATGAAGCCCTCCACATGAATGAATGAATGAACAATGAACAACAGCTACTGTGATCTCTGTGCTTGGAGTTGTGTGCATGTTATAGAGAAGATGGCATTGTGAGTGCTGGAAGTGGCTTTCATAAACGACACACTGAGTATTGTACCTGAGGCCCTGTTGCAGACTGATGTCAGTCCTGGGCGTGGCTGGAAGCACAGATGCAAGTGTTTACGTACGTGTCTGCGGGACCTTGACTGCAGAATCTTGGAATTGAGGATTTGAAGAAAAGCTCTTTCACACTGTCTCTAAAGAGCTAAGACTTTTTTATGTTCTTATTTCTTTCAAAAGCGAATCACGCACTCAGACGTCAGAACACTTGCGCCTAACGCAATGGAATTCTGTTACAAAAGACAACACCGAGAAAAACCATTACATATTCCCAGTAAACATTAGTCACAGAACTCTTCTGACCTCACACCCTGAAAAATATGTACAACTTGTTGTTCATGGAGTTTTCAAATTATTAAAGCTATCTTTGAGATCATTTGAAGCAATGCAGAAATTCCTTTGAAGGACCCCAGTTTAGAGGAAAAAGAGCTTAACCGTAACCAAAGTGGATTTTTGCCATCTTAACACAACTCCAAGGTCAAAAAGTCATGTGGACACTATTTTATAGTGCTGTAAAAAACTATTCTCACCCTTACAGATTACTTCTGCTAGACACAGACAAGCTGAGCAAATAAAATATGCCATTTTAAATAATGATTTAATTTATTAAGGTATAGAAGATATTCAAATCCACCTGGCCCTATGTGAAAAACCAGTTGCCTTCTAAATCCAACAACTGTTGTGCCACCCTTGATGACAACAACTGCAATGGAGAATTTACACCAAATGGCAATAAGGCTTTAAACTGGCTATAGAGGTTTTGTTGTGCAGCTCAGATCTATGTCTGGCTGCATAACTCGTGCCTGAACTTGAGGTCACAAACTGATGACCTGACAGTCTCCCTCAGAATTTTCTGCTGAGGATCAGATTTTACAGTTTCATAATTATGACAGGTCAGGTCCTGAAGTAGCAAAGCAGACCCAGATCATCACACTATCACCACCATGTTTGATTATCCTTATGATGTTATTTTTCTAATATGTGGTATTATTTTCATGCCGGATGATGCAAATATTCATAAAGTCCCCATTTTGTTTCATCAGTCCACAAAAGTTCCTTAGAAGTCATCAGGATCCTTACTATGTTTTGGGGCCTTAGTGCTCTTTTCGGTCAGCAGTGGTTTTGGCCTTAGAGTTCTCTTAAGGGGGCCACTTTAACCCTTAATCTCTTTCTTATTGTTGAATTATGAACTCTGATTATAACAAAATTAAATGAGGACTGCAGTGCCTTAGATTAAAAAAAAATCTCGGACCTCCTGGATTAGACGTTGATGTGCTCTTATAATTTGCTTGGCTATCACACCTGGAAAGGTTCACCACTGTTCCATATTTTCTTCATTTGTAGATAATGGCTCTGTTTAGATTATTTCCTCAGTTCAACAGGTCTGGCAGTAATACGTACATGTCAGTGTGGCTGAGGAAAATAAACCCAGATCTCCCATCCTAACAATTCAATTCAGTTTATTTACTGTACAGTACCAATTCACAACAGAAGGTATTTCAGGGCACGGAACAAAAACATTCACATACATAAAAATCAATTAGTAATCAATTAGTCTATCTATACTACTTAACAGAAACAGGTTATTTTTATTCTCATCTATTAAAGATGAATAATATAAAGTTCTCGCTTTATGGAGAGCGTTCTTATATGTTAGCAGGCTAGCTCTCAAAGTTACCATAATTCTCGGACTACAGAATGCACATGTCTCTAAGTCAAACATATTAAAGATAAGATAAATCATAATTTTGTACATAAGATGCTATGGCAGGCATTCACCGTTCATCGTTAGGAACTGTGCCCCAGCCTGCTCCATCAATGTGTAGCTTTCTTGTTGTAATTCAAGACTCAGCCACCGGACAGCGTTTCTCAGACTATAGCTTACATTTAACATTTGCTCAGACTGCATGATCGTCACAAGTCTTCATGAAGCTTTGCTGTCTGACTCATGGTTTCAACCATTATACCTTCAAATGAACACAATAACTATTTAAGCATAATCACTGGATAGAACAGTGCCAAAAACCTGATAAGGTGTTCTCTACAGTTCAAAAATGGGCGTTTCTGGAGAATAGGCATTTGTAGAGGGCAAACACTGATTGGCTAGCTGTATTTACTGGCTCTTTAGGTAAGTTACATCAGTTCTTTTTTAAAACTGTTTCTAAGAAACAGCGCTATGTCTGCTGTCAAACACAAGAAGATTCTCTTTAGTTGTTGGGTTGTAGGCTGCACCTGACACAGGTTGGCTTGAGTGTGGTCTGGGTACAATGAAATATGAAGCATCTGAAGCAAAACCCGCTCCCATTTGTCAAAAAGTCTGGTCTCAATTAAAGATCATGAGTCCTATGACGAGATAATGGCCCAAAACAAAAGCTAAAAACAAAATTTACTCTTTATAAGTGTTCTTCTATGAGATCTGATCTATGAAAGGAGCTGAAACATGGAGTAAAATTGACCCTTAAAATATGAGACAGCTGAGGAAGTTAACCAGTAAGTAAAAATACCTGCTCCAGTTGCAGAAATCTTACAGAAACCGACAATCACTCATCTGCAGTGACTGATTTAAATTGTTGAACAAGAAAATGTGAATATCCGGATACATGCTCAATAATCCAGGTAGAAAAATCCAAAAATGTTCAATCTGGTCCTCTGGACATTCAAAAAACAAGAAAACAAACAAACAAAAAAAACAAAACAAAGCAAAAAAAAAATGTAGAAACGTTTCGTCTCTCAGCCGAGAGACTTCCTCAGTCTGAGGTGCTGTATTCAGCTCAGTCTCTTAAATAGCACCTTCTCAGAGTGGATCAACCAGTTTGCTGCTGACAACCAAAACCAGCTGATCACATGATCAAGAAGGACCATCAGCCTAACGATGGATCATTAGCACACTGATGGCTGTTTACTATTCACAGGGGGCTGAGTGATACTAGCAATCACAGCATTGTAAGAGGGGGACAGTTGAACCCGGAGGCCTCCACCCCTGTTTAACGATGGACGGTTTCTTTTCACAAAGATGGCCTCCTTTACTCCTCTCTCAAACCATCGTTCCTCTCGATCCAGGATGTGAACATCTTCATCCCTGAAAGAGTGACCGCTGGCCTGGAGATGAGTGTAGACCGCAGACTCCTGGCCTGATGATGTTGATCTTCTGTGCTGGGCCATCCTTTTGGCCAGTGGCTGTTTAGTTTCCCCAATGTAAGACTGATCACAGCCTTTTTTTTTTTCTTGTTTTTTGAATGTCCAGAGGACCAGATTGAACTTTTTTGGAAGAAAATGTGAAGTTAAAAGAAACATCCTTTGTCCCAAGGCCAGTTTAATTCAAAAAGCGTTCAATACAAAAACAACTGGACTTTATTTGTAACAGAAGACGTTTCGCTCCTCATCCGAGGAGCTTTCTCAATTCAAGGAGCAGTGAAGTGAGGGATTCAGGTTATAAAGCTGACTGAGATAAGACACACACACACATATGTAGATTAGCAATTCACACCTAAAAACCTTAACAGTAAGAGTCTTTTGTTCCTCTAATTCACAGACGAGGCCCCTCTGTTCCCATCAGGTGTGAAAATCGGCTGGGAATCTGTCTTAGGCCCTGTACACACGTAGCCTGGTGTTTGAAAAAACGAATATCCGCGCAAAAAAATATCGCCGTACATACATGTTCGGATAGAGAAAATGATCGTCTACATGAACCCGGTGATGTTCACCACAGAGCGTTGTAAAGAATATGCCCAACCCATAGGAGGCAGTGTAGTGCAAAGGTGAAACGTATATCAGCCAATCACAACCCTTCAAAGCAACCACAACTTCCTGTTAGTATTGAATCATGGCGCCTGGAGGTTCGTTTGTGTGGACAGACCGCGAGGTTG